TTGTATGGGCTAAACCCAACTCAAGTATGACCCGGCCCAAAAGAAAAACAAGAAGTCATGGCCATTAAACCCTAGCAGCAAACACTAGAGAGGGTTTACTTCTGTCTTGTTTTCAAGAACAGAACGACGGAAGAAGGCAGCGATACCTGCAATTTGAAAGGATTCTACTAAGATGCCGAAATCCAAGAGAGATAGAGCAGGTAAATACTTCTTTATGTTAAGATTCTAGATTTGATTTTGATTCTACAAAGGAAAAGAATGTCTTTGTTGATTCAGTTAGGTTAATCTAAGCTTGCTGATATACTCGAATATCGGGAATTAGAATCGCATCTCATCTATTTCAAAACCTGCTTAACAACTTCTACCTGTTTTGTATATAGTGACGTTGTCAAAGACAAAGAAGAAAGGAAGAGAACACAAAGAGACAATAGTCCAGTCAATTAGGGATGCAGTTGAAGAGTACAACTCCATATATGTTTTCAGCTTCGAAAACATGAGGAACCTCAAATTCAAGCAATTCAGAGAACAGCTCAAATCTTCCAGCAGGTTTATTCGTATTCCGAATCAATCAACTTTTATCTAGACACAATTGAACTATTATATTCATATCAACATGTTTACTCTAGGGTTTATGATAGAATCTCATCACAATGACAATGTTATGTTTTTATGTTTCAGATTTTTTCTTGGGTCAAATAAAGTCATGCAGGTTGCAATAGGTCGCTCTGATTCTGATGAGATAAGACCAGGGCTTCACAAAGTTTCTAAGGTAAGTAAAAACACTTTAATTTCTTCCATCCATGAAAAAAAAATGTTTTTTTTAATAGTTTTAATTGGGTTAAATGCAAGAATTAGCAACATAATTTCATTCATATTTATTAAAAAATTGTATTTCAAAGTACAATAACGAAAAATATCTTAGCTTCTATGCTAAGTTGTATTTATTTATTGCTTATTGTTTGAATACAGCTTCTTCGAGGTGATTGTGGGCTTTGTTTGACCAATATGCCCATAGAAGAGGCCCAAAGGTTATAATTATAACTATCTTTTTTACCAATATGAACTAAATATGATCTATTTATTTCTTTTTTTTATGTATGTTTTAATTTATTATTGTTTTTTGATATTTGGCAGAATATTTAGTGAATATGAAGACCATGATTTTGCGAGGACTGGAAGTATTGCTTCAGAAACGGTTAGTTCAATCATCAACCAGTCTACATGAAAAATTACATTTTTACCCTTGAGATCATGTTATGAAATATATGCCTAAAACGCCCTTCAATAATAAAAACATGACAACTTTCTCCACACTCATGAAAATTGCATTTTCTATTTTTTTGCTAGGCTAATTAAAAAATGACCATTTTGCCCTTCAGGTTGAACTTAAGGAAGGTCCTCTAGACCAGTTTACACATGAAATGGAACCCTTTTTGCGGAAGCAAGGGATGCCAGTAAGGTTAAACAAAGGTTTGCTCTCTCTCTCTCTCTCTCTCTCTCTCTCACACACACACACACATTACTGTGTGAAATTTTGCTTATTTGGATGATGAAATATAGGAGTGGTGGAGCTTGTTGGAGATTTTGTTGTGTGTGAGGAGGGGAAACCAATATCACCCGAGTCATCTCGCATACTGGTTAGTGGCAAGTGTTTTGGTTTTCTCAGGGGCGTTTTTGTCATTTGTGGGATTTCTGTTTTCATCATGACCCTGATCTTTTTTTTTTTTCTTATGTGAATGCAGCGTTTAATGGGGATAAAGATGGCAACCTTTAAACTAAGTTTGATATGCAGATGGAGCCCTGAGGATTATGAGGTTTATCAAGAAGGTTTGCAAGGTTCAGATATTGAATCTTGTTAAATGCATATGGTTTTGTGTTTTATGTGAGATTTTGCATGAAGAGGATGCAATTCAGTTTTGTATGATTCAGAAAAAATATGTAATGGATTTTGTGTAAAACTTACGACAAGTATAATGCGATTCTATTTTATTTCGTTATGATTGTGTTTTGAGGGTTGCTTTGCTTTACACTTAATATGCTTGTCGCATCATATTGGTTGAAAATTCATTACGATCTTATCATATTTATTATTATTATTATTTTTTTTTACATTTATACTATTAACGTAATATTTTAATTTTATTTATTTTAAAAAAAGTCTTCTTTTTTAAGTTTGGTTTGTTTTGTGGAATTATTAGTCTTAGTATATGCAAAAAAAAAAAAAAAAAAAAAAACTTATGCTATCTCATAATTTTTTTTTCTACCTGATGAAGTCATCAACCAACTTTTCGTACAACTGCTTTTTATTTTTGGAAAAATGACTCTTGAGGGTAATTAACTTTTGTGTTTGTATTTATTTGGTCTTTTTCCTTTTAATGTATTCAATATATATCGAACTTATTGTTTGCGTTCACCATAACCCTTTTGACCTGTGATAGCCGGACAAAGGGTTATGGTGAACACAAAAAAACAAGTTCGATGGTATATTGAGTACAAAAAAAAGAAAGGGACTAAATGATAACGAACTTAACAGTTGGTTACCCTCCTGAGTCATTTTCCCCGAAAAGTTAAATGAAATTAAATTTGCAAAATTATCAAAGATTGCAACTTTCTTTGGCTATAACGTATATGAAAAGCGTTTCAAAAGGGTAACCTTGTTAAAACATAATCTATGTTATGCTTACTGTGATTAACTGTCAACATCTCTCTACAAAAGGATATGACTGTGTATGATAGGTATATTTATCAGCATAAATGTTTACCTCAAGGTATATTATGGTGATGTGTCTACAAAAGCAACATGATATTGTACATATTGATGTTGTATCTTATCCCATAAATTCGATCTTAAAGCTAAGTAAACTAAAAAATCACAACACTTGTGATTCCACTCGTTTGTAGACTTGTCTAGAATCCATGATACGATAAATCATTTGATTAGAAATGTAAATGTAGTAATAAAATGCGTCTGATTAGTCAAGATTTCCCTAATAAATAGTAAAGTGTCTTATAAAGTTGTACATGTATGAATAATGTTTTTTCGTGGGTTATGTTTTGAAGAGAAGCAAGAATGAATATCATAAAGTCATTAATATCAGTAGGAGATGACGTGAGTTTTGCTGTAAATGAGTAAAGGGAAAATGAATCAGGAGGGTAACCAACTGTTGCATTTGTTCTCATTTGGCCCCTTTCCTTTTTTTTTTTTTTTTTTTTTTTTTTTTTTTTTTTTTTTTTGTACTCAATATACCATCGAACTTGTTGTTTGTGTTCACCATAACCCTTTGACCGGCTATCACAGGTCAAAAGCCGGTCAAAAGGGTTATGATGAACGCAAACAACAAGTTCGATGGTATATTGAATACAAAAAAAGGAAATTGACCAAATGAGTACAAACGCAAAAGTTAATTACCCTCAAGAGTTATTTTCCTTTTAATTTTAGAAATATTACATATTTATTTTATAATATATTATATATGCTTAAAATCAAAAAATTAGATAATTACTTCTATTCTAATAAAAGAATAGATCTAATCTCAAATTGACAAGTGTCATACAATTAGAACTCCTTATTAATGTTATATATCACCTTTCATGCCACTTGTCAACCAATTAATTATTCATTTCAAATTTAAAATTTAAAATTTTTCACTCTAATTTTATTAAATTAATAATTAATAATTGATTGTTCATTTTAAATTTCAAATTTTAAAATTTCTCTCTTTAATTATATTAAATTAATAACATTAGATTAAAAAGTAAAATAAAATTAATATAAGATGATATAACTTCACGTATTTATTTAAATTAACGACTATAATTTTATATAACTAAAACAGTATCTCTTAAGTAATAATTTATCTAAAATAATTGATTAATTTAAATAAATACGTGAATTTAATTTAAAAAGTAAAATAAAATTAATATAAATTCTAAGATGATATAACTTCACGTATTTATTTAAATTAACAACTATAATTTTATATAACTAAAACATTATCTCTTAAGTAATAATTTATTTAAAAGAATTGATTAATTTAAAATTATAGTTGTTAATTTAAATAAAATTTTGATTTTTTAATATGAAAGTTTAATTAATTTTATAACCGTGTTTATCACGGGTTATAAACTAGTGACTTTATAAAATCTTCCTATCTAGTAAATGAATAGGGTTAACCTCATTGTGTCTTGTGTCAAACTATTAAATAATATTATGCCAGTGTAACTTCTAAAAAAATTCAAATTCAAAATAGTCTATAATCATCCATATATAATTTGAAACAATTTCTGTATATTGTATGAAATGTAAAAGTAATTTGAAAAATAATAAATGATAAGATAATAAGATAACACAACAATTTATATTAACATATTCGTTCTTTCAGGACAACAACAAATATATTTTCCTTATTTTAAGATAATCACCAAGTTAGCATGCTGATTACCAAATTAGTAATACGTATAATGGGAAAATTTCAAATTTACTTTAATATAATTATAACTTCAATGTCCAATACATATATATAATGGGAAAGCTTCAAATTTACTTTAATAATAACTAGATAGGAAACCCCGCTTCGCGGGGGTTGGATTCGGCACTAATTAGAAGAAAACCGACAAGATCCTTAATATATCGTTGGTGATTTGATGACCATTGCTCATATTGATATCAAAATGTAAGTATGTTGCTATTATGGGTAAGAAAGTTACAAAAAATTGAATTTGAATAAATTGTATAAAAATTAAAAGTCTAATCCTAAGTTAGAAAACCAATAATACACTCCGTGATCCCGAAATAACCAATTTACCCCTACTTACTTTCCTGTCATCATCACCTCTCATCTTAGTTACTGAAATGACAAACTTCTCTCTGCAACTCCATGTTAAAGCAACATAACCATCTGCCCATAGTACCTGTCAAAAAACTTGTACATCTCATCAAAAAAAAAAAAAAAAAAAACTAAAGTACGTTGCCAATATCAACAAACCAAAGTACTTTTATTTCATTCGCCTTTGTACAAAGGTTTTCGCTCCAATAAACCAGACCCGATCTCCATTTCTAAACCATGGCTAATCACTCTTTTAGCCATCCGTATAGCCACAGGACCCTAATAACATGATCTTACATCTTACATCTTACATCATAATGTTATATTATAAAAAAACATTTCATATAATATTAATAAACGTACCTTTTGATTTATATAACATGCAATTTCAAGCGCCTTTGAGTAAGCATCACCCGTAGGAGCACAGTAATTAATGAGACCTACATGAAATTATTCTATGGTTTGTACTTTATTTTTTCTACCCATAATAACAATGTGCTTATATTTATTTGGTTATCAATATGGGCATTTTAATTTATATGTTACATATTTTTAATATTAGTAATAAAGATACAAATAAAATACCAAATGACAATGCTTCTTTGGGTGTGATCTTTCGGCCCGTAAAGATAAGTTCTTTGGCTATTGAGCTTCCAATTAACCTAGGAAGCCTCTTTGTCCCTCCAACCCTGTAAAAATATAATTTTTTTTTTATAAAAAAGTATATATTTGTTCTTATATTACCGGTTTTTGGTAAGCCCAGTTTGGCATCTTCTCCTGATGACATCAAATTATTAGAAAATGAAACTTATGTAAAAAAATCATAAATAATTATTGCGAGCCTTTGATCTAGAAAACACATATCTATATATCTGTCTCCGACCGTTGGATTAGAATTTGGCCTAGATTTGGAGTATATCTATGGAAATATAATGAAAATGTTTAAAAAAACGTTCATGTGTTATTCGAGTATTTTTGTAACGACCGTATATCAAATCTGTGGATAGGCCAGTTCATTAGTTTTCAATGCATTTGGTGAGATAATAAAATAGTGCCCTTATATTTATGTAAAACGATAAGAAAATGCATATAAATTTTTCTATGACAAAAGTGGAAATAATTTTATAGTAAAATAACACATAAATATAAACAAAGACATACAAAACTACCTAAAATGATACTTGAATGCATTCTACAAATAAATCGTCCATCAAAATCATATTCCTAACCATTTCACAGTGGAGGCATAATTTTTTTTTTTATAATTCATCATCAAGTTAAAAAAATCATGAAACAAAAATCCATAACCAGATTCATAATGTGATCCATTGATCTTGATGCCTCTAGATAACATGTGTCTTCTTGTACATAGAAATGGAACCTTCAATATGGTGATACTAATAAAAAATGAAAACAAAAGGTTATTTTAATATCTGTAATTGATATTATGAAGTGAGACCCGCTTATAGAAAGGAGAATCATAATGGTGCAAGAAGCATTACAACCTTCATCAAATAGCAAAAAAAAAAAAAAAAAAAAAAAAATTCTGGAATTTAGTGAAATAAATTTTAAATAGACAAACCTAATCACACAACTTCTCTCTCAATGTGAAGATGAAAAGTCAAATTAGGCAATGAACAGGTTATAAAAGTCTACAGAAAATGCATCAGATAATTACTTCTTTAACAATATCAACACTAAAGTTTTTCTACTTTTCAATAATTGAAGCAAATTCATTGCTGTCATAAAACATTTCTTATGGGTGAAGAAAAAAAAATGAAATTATTTTGAAATTGAAATGAGTTCATATTATCATAATTAAGAACCAAAGAGAATACTAATGTTGGTGTTAGAACATACCATATTTGTATGTTACAATTAATAAATTTCTAAATTTTACAAACAAAATCCCTTACTTGTTTATTAGATGTCAAAATCAATGAAAGTAAGATAATGAATTATTAAAAAATTAAAACAACAGAAGCCCTAAATTCTCCAGAGCATCATTATATCACTAGGAACATGAAATCTATCAGGAGACGATATTAGAAAATGAGACCTGGTTTTTTACATCTTAAACGTTCACTCTCGCTAAACTGGTAATTTCCCGTATTGTATCATTAATTTTCCAAAAAACCAATCCATTATCAAAACCAACATGTAAGGAGATAATATTTTAGCAAGAAATAATAAAGGACAGAAAGATATCAGACGAATTAACTGCTATCAAATTTCAAAATCAAATCAAATACAAAGCTTCAACTAACCCAGATGTGCTGAATTTTAGTTCACATCTCAATAATAATTCATACGACGAAGCTTTTATAGGTTGAAGACAATAAAAACCAAATCGATTGCTCAAATTTTTAGGGTGTTTCTGAGATTTCCATTCATACCTTAGCTTTAATTTTCTTCACAAATCATAAACCTGAGCAAAAGGTCCTCTCCATTAGACTTGAAGATGGTCCGCTTCAATAGGTAGAGGTGAATGTCGATGTAGATGGGCAAAAACGAAAGCAGACAGAATTTCATGATTCAATTACAACCTGTGTTATGAAGAAAGAGATCGGTAAAGGAAAGGTGGTGTAGCATGTGGCAAACTACGGTGCAAAATCCATAAAAAATCCACCTTCTAACGAATCATAAACTCAAAGTAAATCACGAAAGTTGAACGTATCAAACCTGATTGATGGAAGAAAAACATTTGCTAAAAAAGGGGAGGAGGTGGAGGAAATCGAACGATCTGAACTGAATGGTGTGGTTGTTGGATCCGACGATAATGATGGTTCTGAGGGGCGTCGCAATTGGAAGTGGGATGAGTGAAATGGTAGATGTTGGATATTTTCCATTCGAAGATAGACAGAGGAGAGATAGGCGTTGGGGGTAAAGATAGAGAAATCGGAATATCATTGGCTGAGAGAAACGGTGAAACAAAGGCATAAAACACGTGTCCAGTAAAATATAGACAATGATAAAAAAATACCCAAAGCAGAAAGTTAGATGTGTATAATATATATATATATATATATATATATATATATATATAATATATATATATATATATATATATATATATAACTTCAATGTCCAATCTAATATACCTTTATTATTTTGATTGGGAACAAAATTTCAAGCTCACATCTTTATTGATAATTTTTTCATAATATTTGAAACATCTATATTTATAAATTAATAAATTTTATCTTATCATTGTTCAATTATAATCTTATGATTTATTGATATTTTTTTTTTCTTTCTCATCCGTGGTGTCCACGGGTTTTAATCTAGGATTTCATATAGATACGAGTAATCTAGTTATTAATTATATTAAAAGCTTTTAAAAGTGTCAATAATTGGAGGATAGAACTCTATTTTGCTCTATTTCCTCTTACAACAACTAAAAACCTCAAGATATTGCAAACTTTCAACATCTTGGGCTTAGTAGAGTTTTTTTGTTCGGATCCAAGGCAATGTACTTTCCCTTATTTATGTATTATAACACTAAATTCATCTCTTTCTTCCTATTTATGCATTAAACCAAATTATATCATTGCACACACATTTTTTTTTCCTTATTAAGACACTGCATTATAAAAATAGTACCCAATTATAGTAGTGAAAACGGCTTTCTATATAAATGATATTGCTATAACTTGGTAGATTTTCAAAATAGGATGTTATAACAAAAAAACTAATAAAAACACGTTTCTATTTCTTGCCTAGATAATATATGAAGATTGTAATACTAACAATTAAGCCTCTTTGTGTTGAAGCCAAAAGAAACTAAAAATAATTTGTTCAATTTGGTAACAATTCATGAGTCATGACCACAGAGTTGCCAGATTTTGTTTTGAATAATGGCAAATTTCAGCCTCAAAATCTGGACAGATTAATAAAAACCTAATAACATCTTAAGAAAGTAAATCACAAATTAAAAACTACTGGTTTTGGTTTTTTAATCCTAAAGAAAAAACATGAAAAAAAAAGCCTACTGATTTTATAAGGCTTCCAAGGAACCCTTTTTGTCTTCCAAAAGTTTCAACTCTTTTCGCCAATCCTCTAACTTTGCAACTTTTTCCTGTTGTTCTGGTTTCAAATCATTCCCTGTTTTTTGCTGTTGACCCTCTGTCAGCCGAATCTGCAACAACATTTCACAAGTAAATGACCATTTTACCCTTCTCACACACTTTCCATGTACGTATATATGGATAAATCATGTCTCTGAGGAGTAGCTGTTGTATAAGCAAAGACTAGTTCTTTTTTAGACCTAACGGACCGTCTCAACACGGGTAAATGACTGTTTTACCCTTCTCGTTTTAGAATATATGAGTAAATGACCATGTTACCCTCTTCTCATTTTTAGACTGAACGAACCATTTAAAACTGACCAGTTTAGATTGAATGAATGTTCTGACTACAAGTAATTAGTAAATGACCATTTTACCCTTCTGAAAAAAACCATACAATTGTTCTTCTTGCTACCCATATAAAATCAATTTCACTAATCCTCAAGTAGATTACAAAAACCAAGACACAAATCACATAATTATTTAAGGTAAAGGGTAATGGAGTAAATATAGTTTCTGAATGGATAACGTCACCTCAGTAAACAAGTTAACAGGACAAAATAAAAATAAATAAATAAAAACAAAGTTATTAGAAAAATTACCTTCTTTTTTAGGGCACGGATTTTTTTATCGATATCAGGAACATGATCTGCTGAATTTAAGGGAGGGGTAGCAACGGAAATAGTGATATCATTTATCTGGGATACAATGGAGTCAAGAGGTTCCAATGCTTGATCTACACCATCAGTAGATGAAGCTTCACTTTTGCCCTTATCAACAGACGCCTGCTTCATGCAATGAAAAAAAAAAAAGTAAATAAATAAGAAAAATCAAGATATGTTCATTTGCATGAAATTAATTCCAACTAGTAATATAGTTAGTATAAGTCTTAAGCATGTGTAACAAATTAGGACTTAATGGGGATAGATATTTGATGTTAAATCGTTCTTGAAGACTGCTTAAAGATTTGTCTTGTTAGTTTTATAATTCAAAGGACTTATTGAGGTGAAGCTTTAAGGTCCCAAATGGATTAAACAATCATCAAGAACATGCATTCAATTCAGGTTATGGAGAAGTATGGAGGTTGGAGAATTCAA